CTAGACCCACACACAACTCACGCGAATTTATGTATTTATTCAGTACTGTGAAGAATCTAGTTACTAATTATACTTTATTATTACTACGTTTATTATTAATTTATATTAATATAGTCATTTGCAATGTGGGCAGGGCCCGTGTGCGCTGCGGGCCCTCCCGGTACGTCATAACAATGAGATACCTTCTTGGAATAACTTAAAATCTCATAATGAGAAACTAAATCATTATTATATAAACCCAACAAAAAAAACGTTTTAAAAGACATAATTGTTAGTTTTTCTGGGGGGGGGGGGGGTTTTTGCATCTGATAATTATGAGAAAGGTTATTGTCATTATGAGATACTAAGCTATAACTATGAGTTTCTTAATGATTAATAACTAAGGGCTTAAAATGGAAACGGCTTATTTTTTTGCAAAATGTGTCACTAGCACAGGATAAATGTTATGACATTCTGATAATTATGAGAAAGGTTATTGTCATTATGAGATACTAAGCTATAACTATGAGTTTCTTAATGATTAATAACTAAGGGCTTAAAATGGAAATGGCTTATTTTTTTTGCAAAATGTGTCACTAGCACAGGATAAATGTTATGACATTCTGATAATTATGAGAAAGGTTATTGTCATTATGAGATACTAAGCTATAACTATGAGTTTCTTAATGATTAATAACTAAGGGCTTAAAATGGAAACGGCTTATTTTTTTGCAAAATGTGTCACTAGCACAGGATAAATGTTATGACATTCTGATAATTATGAGAAAGGTTATTGTCATTATGAGATACTAAGCTATAACTATGAGTTTCTTAATGATTAATAACTAAGGGCTTAAAATGGAAATGGCTTATTTTTTTTTGTAAAATGTGTCACTAGCACAGGTTAAAAATGAACCACACAACAGATAAAATTGTCATCCAAGCCAATATCAAACTCCAGTTGGGTAAAAACTCCCAAAAACCCCTCAAACCACAATCACCAGGCACTGACCTTGTCTGACATCCTGATCATCCAAGGTTTCCGTGAAACACAGAGCAGCAGAGTGTGAAAAATCCTTATTTGTCCGGGAGAGCAGAAGAAGTTTGTCCGTTTTGTTGGGTAGAGAGCGGAAATTCGCCATATGGATGCTCGGCAACGGCGTTCTGAATCCGCGCTTCCTGAGCTTCACGAGCGCGCCGGCTCGCTTCCCCCGTCTGCGCGTCCTGAAGCGCTTGATCAGTGCAGCAGCTCCGCCCGACTACAACGTTCAGCAAAACGTCCAAATAAACAAAATCCGGTAGAAGATTGTGTGGTGTGTTCTGCCGAATGTTCAGCAGCTCATCCCTGGTAAAACTGATCGTGTTTGAGAAACAAAAAACAGGAAAAACTAACAAAAACAGTACAAACACTGGAGAGCCAAACACTGAGGCTGCCGTCTGCGGTGCCATCGCATGTCATCCATAGTGGTTCTCATTACACAGGCACGTAGTCCTTCTACGTCACCACCACATAGTGTGCATTATAAGTTAAGTGATCAAGTCTCTTAAAGGGCACACCACATTATAATGTGATGCATGCAAATACATAGTTTTGACCATTACACACCTTTCACTGATGTAAAAGCATGTCCTGCCGCCGCGCGATTTCCCCGTTGATTCTGTGTTGCGATCTGCTCTGAAAAGCTGAAAGCTTAGCAGATGGAGCGCGCTGTCCAGGTATGGCGTCATTCAGCCAGGTTTCCGTGAAACACAGAGCAGCAGAGTGTGAGAAATCCTTATTTTGATGATTAAATGATGATTTGCATGGATAAATTATTCACATTGCCGTATTCCATTTAAAAAATGCCCATTTTTGATTTTATCATGCCATTAATATTCTTAAACTGCATTCTAAATTAAATCAGAGACAGGAATAGGCCTACTCAAGTTGAAATTTCTCAGTTCTGACCTCAAAATGTCCCAGTCATGTGTTCCAGACGGCTCAAAATTCTCCCACCCACACCACTTGAAAATAACCAATGGAATGTCATTTTAGACATTGCTATCATCAAATTACATCAAGTGACACACTCAATTCAAGTTTAAACAAGTCGGCTGTTCGACTGACTGTGCTGTTATAGTGGCTACTGTATCTTCAAGAGTTTTCAATTTGTCAAGTGTTTTTTGAAAAGCCATGTCTGGGGTATGTAGGATGCAACATTTAAAACTATTATTTGTTTAATTTGGGAAACACTGCTTTTTAAATGCCACACTCATCTACTGATGACCTACACCCAGTGATCATGTGTGAAATGTGGGATGGCTGAAAGAAAACGGGGCATTTATACCTATGCGCCAGCGCGGGTCATATTTACCTGCCTATAATGCCTGTATATTCACACTGTCATTTTCGTGCTGCTTATGTTTTAACATAGCCTTTCACTCACTGAATTAGCGGTTATCAGTTTCATAAATAAAGACAACATGAGTAAAAGAAAGGCGATTCATGAATGCTGAAGAGAAATAAGAAGCACTAAATGCCATGAGCGATGGAGAGTCTGATGGTGGGGAGATAAGTAAAGCGTCCTGTCGGCTCAGCATCTGACGGCGATCAATATATCATATTTAGACGTTTTATCCTAATGTTACTCATAATTGTTCAAAATTTAGATTAACTATTTAACTTTAGTTTTGCCATTTCTATCGTTTATTGTTCGCTTCCGTGTTGCTATTTATTCAGATCAGCTGTTTCCTGAAGAAAAAAATCTGATCTGATGTAGGCTAATGAATAAAACCTTTTATTTATTTTTTTTGATTACCCGAAGTTTATTGGTGTTCTTCTTCTATAATTCAAATGATAAATGATATAACTAAACACATTAATAATTAATTATTTGAAGCTGTGCGCTTGAATTGTCATCGCATCATCCTATGCAATGTGGTGAATTATTATTGCTCATTATTGTCTATAGGCTATTTTAGTAAATTAAATAAAATAGGTTATCTTAATATATTGATTAATGACATTGTATTATAATAGCCTGTTTATGAAAAGTGACTAGTGTAGCCTGCATAAAAAAGTTTTGACCATAAAATAACAGGATAAAAAATATAGTTGATGACTAGACATAATCATTTAATGACTCTAGACACTTCTTTGTGAAGACAGTAGCATAATACAGTGAAATAATATTTTCTTTAGCCATTCAGTAGCTGTCATGTGCGTGGGTAAAATGTACCTGCTGGCGGTTTTAGGTATACAGCGACCTGTGGCGGTTCTAGTGTTTAATAAGCTAAAATTTTACTAGACCACATTATGTTGATATCAGTATTAAAAAAAAGTGCATACTGTGCAACTGATTTTAATGATGACTAATTTAATTAGAATCAAACCAATTTATTGCAGTTTACAATGCGATTTATATAAAGATTAGCAGCCTTATGCAGAGTGCTGGCAAGTTCTCTTTGGAGTTGGACCTCACTCTGTAGGATTGGTGATCTTGCCCATGAAGAGGATGCTCTTGGTGGTGTCTTCTACAATCAGTACCAAGAAAGGTTGGTTGAGCATCACAGTGTCTGGCAGGGATATGGGCATGGTTTCTATCGTGGTTACAGACACTGCCTCTGTGCCCTTCTCATCCACGCTGAGGACTGCCTGATGGTCAACCTGGAAATCGGGCCCAAAAAGTTAACATCACTTAGTAGAGTTTTCAAAATCTTTAGATCTAGCAACCATCGAAGGTGCTACACGAGGTAACAAGTACACGTACCCGTGACACCTTGACTTTGACCTCTCCTGTCATCCCAGAGAAATCTGCTGTGTTACTGAATGCATCAGTCATTCCCATGTCCTGCAGAATGTCATTCAGTTTGGACGTTGCAGTGATTGAGAACTTGGGCATAAACAGGTCCACAGAGCTGAAGGGCAGAAAAGTAAAATATGGTATATCAGATACTATGGTATCTGGGTCATTTTCAAGGTTCCCAGACTAATGTGCAACTAAACAACAATCAACCTTCAGGTCAGAGGTCAACTAATACATGGATTTAATTATAAAGGTGTCACCGGTACTACCTATTGAAAAGATTATGTAACGCTTTTCGTGGCGCGAGTGCAACCCTCCCTCTCAAACAGTGAATAACAGAAATGAGCGAGAAGGGAGTGCTCTGCTGCATGCAATGACGGCTGTAACGCCAAGCAGGGACAGTTCAAGTTCAAAATCTTCCTCAGAAATCGCTTAATGTCCAGGAAACGTGCAGCATCAAGAGAATTAGATTTTTTCCCAGTTATGAAATTTCCAGAAAGGCAAACTTCTACTTCAGGCCTTGTATCTTCCCCGTAGCATTCACGCTAGAATTCACCCGTGGTCATTGACTAATGACGTTCAATCCACACTTTTATCTCAAAATCTTATTTATCATGTATACAACTGTTAGTTTGTTCGTTCAAATTCGATTTTTTTCTCTTCTTTTTTCAGGATCGCATCAGCGGCTTCTCCCTCGGACAAAAACGTTGCATCATCTCTGTCCCGGCTCCACCCGTTAGGGCGGGGCTAACTTTCCACTCGTCTAATTGGACCAATCTTCATCTTATTAAATTAAATAACTTTTCTAAATGAGTTTTAATTTAACTTTATACACTTCCTTTTTCTCTCTTTACAAATATTAACAAAATAGAATACGGTTTTGCACAATCATGAATGTTGTAGTTTTTTTTTTCCAGCAACAGGGTTTCTAGTAATCTGGGTTACAATTATCACGCCAGATCTTAAGTTGGTGTCTGCAGATAGATTCTTCAACCTCCTTCATCTTCCCTTCATCAGGAAGAACAATCATCATGGAAGCATTGCCTTTGTATGGCACCATCATGACCGTAGTTTGGTTGACAGGGTCTTGATAGAAGGCATAGGTGCCAGTTCTTTTCATCATGTCAACTTGCACGGTGGTGTCATTGTCCACTTTGAAGTCAGCATTGTGGGTCAGTTTTGCATCAAATTGCTTATCCCACTTCCCTATCAGGACAAATTGCAAGAACTTTTGATCAGCGTCAAACCAAGATTCATTACATGAATATCATTAAATGAAAGAGAAGTTTATTTAGTACCTCTGACGTACATATAGTTAATCAGCATCATCACTGTATCGTCGTCCAGGTCCTTCACCATGTTGGTTATCTTGTCATGGGTTTTCTTAGCGATGAACTTGTTAATCTCTTCTGCAGCAATTTCAGGCTTGGAGAAGTCAACGCTGAAGGCTTCACTGTTATAGTAGTGCTGAACATCCTTCAGGAACTGGTCAACCACTTCGAAGCCTTCTCTGATGGCCACACCAGCGCCTGCCTCCAGCTGCATGGCTTCCTGACTGTGGCCCAGCATGTGGATCAAGTGCTCATAACCCTAATTGACCTGTGAAGCCTGCAACCCACTGTAACCCAGACTGCTGTATATCTGTGAAAGTGTGCTACCCTTGGCACCTACCGCCAGCATGCTCAAAGCCATTGAGATTCCGACTGGGGAGAAGAAAATGTTATTGTTCTTGCCCTCGGCATCGGGATGGAACAAGAATGTGATGGAGAAGGCAAAGTCAGCGTTGGGTGGAGCAAGCAGGTGGCATGCATCCTCCCCATCGTGGCTGGGGTGGGGTTCGTCCTTCCCGTGTGGCCTTCGTGGGGTGCAGCCCAGGCCGTTGCTACCAGCAGGGCAGCAAACACACTGTAATAAATTTTTCCCCACATTTTTTCACCTGTGTTTTATGACCAGAGGGTGCAGAGTTTCACAAATAGATCTTGAAATGTGACACAAATGTTAGCTTTTGCATTTCACACAGTAGCTATTTCACTCTTTCTAGGTCTACAGTAATTCGGTTACAATCACGTCACTTCTGGAGAAACAATTACTGTCACTTACCATCAAAGTCCTCTTGACATTAGACTGTTTGGATGGAGTGGAGTCAATTTATAGTCATTCAGACTTCAGTTGAGTAAAATCTTTATATATTAACCCATTTCCACCCCCTTTCTTTAAGCATAATCGCTCGTGATTAGCTGTTGCTCTACATTCAGTGATGCAACACAGTTTTGGACTTCAGTGTCACATGTTTTCAATACCTAAATTGTGTGTGTGTGCTGGTTTAGAGACAAAAAAAAAAACCTTGTCAATCACAATTTTATTGATATGATTGTCTACCTCTCAAACAGTTGATCAAAAAGGTCTTCACATCTTAAGATACTGTAGTTTCTTTCTTTCTTTCTGTGATGATCAAATAAATCCCAGCACACAAAATTAGAATTCTTGCCTTTTTTCACATTTACTTTTTTTTCCTTCTCTCTAATTAAATGTTTAATGTATATGCAATTTAAAAAATAAATAATAAATGTTGCTGTGTTGCTCTCCTTTTTGCTAACAATCACTTCTGCTGACTCGGCAAAGATTTATTTATTCATATTTCTTTATGTAGTTGTCAAAGCATTCTGCACAGTCTCTTTGTAGTATGAATTTTTTTTTTCAAAACCTGTAACTTCATCATATACAATAAAAATGAATAGATTAACAAAAAAAATCCCCAAATAACATTTGATTTCCCCTTCTTTTAAGTTGGCTTTTATCCACTATCTGTGAGAGACACAATCACTCAACCAGTGATATACTGTGCTGTCAGAGAAGGGTGCTTAAAATTAATACCCTCACATGAGACAACACCAGATCATTGTCCTTCGAGGAATATGTACAACTGGCTGATCTGGTGAACATATAGTGAACACCATGCTTCTCAAGCAAGTCTCTAAAGTATATGTTTGTTTGTTTTTTCCCCAAAGCAAACTATGGGAGTCAGATCTCTGCAAAACTGTCAAAGGGAGAAGGGAAATCAATGTTTTAGACAGTGAGCAATGTCAATTTCTCTCCATTTTAATGGCATGTGTACAACAGTTGAATTCAGAATGAAGCTTTTTGAGCTTGTTGTTTACAGAGCTGCAATTGGCCACAGACAGAATGTCTAGCTTAATACAGCTCCTTCTGTACTGGATTAGACTGAAATATACAGTGGGGTCCAAAAGTCTGAGACCACCGGTTTTAGAAAGTGTCTTTCTTTCTTTCTTTCTTTCTTTCTTTCTTTCTTTTTCTTTCTTTCTTTCTTTCTTTCTTTTTTTACAACTTATATTATCGCATTTGCGACTGAAAACTACTGCGTGCGACTATGAAAAAATATTTAGGAGCACCAGTGCAACTGACCAGATCTTAATCATATTTGTGATTGTGATCGCTGAGGGGAGCTTCAAAGGTTTCCACGTGTTTTTGCAGCGTTGAGTAATGTATCACATCTCATGAATCCTTTCATAAGCAAATAGCCCTATTCGCACGGGATTAGGCTAGTGACCTCCAGTCATTTGTAATAATTGCGGAGGTTGTCTGTGATCTTAATCCCGTGCGAATCGGCCATGTCTGTAAATTGTAAAGTAAAAATTCCCCCGCAAATGACCTACCATATTTCGCCGAACACCGAGGTCCTGTGATAATATTAGTCCCGTGTGAATCGGCATCTCTGTGATTTGGCCAGCATTTGGTGGATCGTATATCATTTTTCGAGGTTTTTGTTTCCTGTGCGTCTTTTTATCCATCTTTGCGAAGAATGGAGCTGTGTTCGAGTGTTTTGATAGTATTTTGGGTGCTGTCATATCGCTATACTACACCATACAATACAATTTGCAGAAAGAGAAAGCTAAAAAGTTTTTGAGGTTAATGTGTTACAAATAAATCAAGCATAAAGCTTGAGATATTATTTTAACTTGGTGAAATGTAAATGACACAGGGCACAAAACTATTAGTTTCTATTATTAAATCCATATAAACGGACCATAGAACGGACCTCTCAAAGAATTTATAAATCAGTAAATTCGAGTAAAATCACAGGCTTCGCTTATCCCATGCGAATGCATCACACGAAATTCAGATGTGGGGGGGTCATTTCAAAATCACACAAGGTTCCCAGATTAATCCTGTGCGAATAGGGCTAAAGTGTAGACGGTGTAAATAAAAGATTAATTGTGCAGTGTAGAGACCCAGCAAGCAATAGCCGTCATTTCAACGTCTCAGTTAAGTCAGAGCTGACTAGCTAAATCGTGGCTATGCACAGGCTACGTATTGAACATGTAAAAGAAATGAAAACCAAACACCTTGTAAACGCTGTTGATTTTGCTTACATGATGGAATATCATACATCTCTCAAGTAATTTTGCCAAAAACCGACATGAAACCAAATTCAAGGTTATTTGGGCGAGAAGTGGGTTACACATAGCCGGACTATATTGTGTCTATACTTAACTGAGACGTTGAAATGACGGCTATTGCTGGGCTGTAGCCCACTTATAGTCAAACCCGATTCACTGTAGTTTTTGGCCAGACAGTGCATGAGATGGTTGATATCCCATCATGTTTGCAGTGTCAATAATATCTACAAAGATATAAGTGTCATTTTGTGACATGGTCTATATGTAACCACGATTTAGCTCTAAATTGGACGGGCTACATGTAGTCTGCTTTTAGCCCACCTGGCGAAATCGAGGCAATCTGTGGTCTAATTTTAACGGCTTTGCTATAGCCCTATACCAGTAACCAGACCAGCGATGAGCATAGCCAAAATAGCCTTACATTTTTTTACATGTAATTTTCACCCACGCAGCTTCTTATCAATGCAAGTAAACTTTTGAAACATTTAACATTTAATTTATGGCAATTGTAGCCCTACTGAGACATGACCACTGGCAACTTGAGACGTGTTGCGTTTTGAATTTTGTTTTTACACGAGAGAGCACTAAGTTTACCTGTCGGAGAGCAGTGGGCAAACAACAAACGATAAAGGACATTCCTACTTGGTCTTGTAAGTATCTGTGTTTTCGTTTTGACATGTGTTCATAATTTATCTATATTATTTGTTGTCATGTTTAGGAACCATGACATTTTAGCGAAGGGAGCAGATCAAAGTTGATAGTGATCCGTGACTAGGCCCACGGTTCAGCATGCATGTGTTCAGAGGATTCATTGCTAAATTTAATAGATAATAGAGTAAAAGTTTTATCATTTGTATGTGTTTACAAACTCAATCGATTTTAAAACGGTACAAGAAGAGGCGAAAGAGCAAACAACAGAACAAACACAGCTTTGACAAAGATTAATCTATGTTTATTTATACAGTGAACACACTCAGAAGAATTGGAGAAACTGAGGAGGAGTTTCAACATCAGGAAAAGCGGTTGGAAATTGAGAAGATCCAGGCAGCAATGGTAAAAAAACAAAAAACTCCAAAACAACATTTCCTCACTAAAGCTCTCATCTTTGACAAAATCCATCATTTATTTTAATTACTATATTGAATTTATGACTGAACAATGGCTTGTTAGATACAGCGAGAGCATGAGCTAATTGAATAGAACATCTTTGTCATTGTACAAGTACAATACGATTTATTTTGAAACTTCTAAATTGATAGTAAAGCTTAAAAATACAGATGATTTAAAATGGCAATATACAATTATCAATTATAAAAAGTTTGCAGCAGTATTAAAATAGTGCAAATAGCTCAGATGTGCAATGCAGCATTAAAACCTAAACAGTACAAACAGAAAACATAATGTAATAAAACGGTAGGGGTGAATTTATTATTCCATGGACATTTGAGGTTAATGTGTGTACTGAGCTACTTTTTAGTTACAGCAGCTAATACTGTGTTGTTATGAAGTGTAGCGAAAAGTCAGTTGTGCCAGACAATTTTGGAGGCAAAGACAGATTGTGGGGGGAACTATAGGGAAAAACTTAAACTGCTGGAATAAAGGATTTTAAAGGGTTAGTGATGGAAAACTTGCAGGTCAATGGGCATCAATGTTTAAGGTTGGTAAACACTTGTACACGGACGCATATAATACTACCCGCTTGACACTGGCATGTGTTATTCAGGTGTCAAGGTTGTGCAGAGTTGAAGGAAGAAGCCTCAAAGACAGTGCCAGAAGGATGCTGGACAGGTAAAGCCTACAAATATTGCCACATTAATCAAACATTGTGGTGTCAATTCTCAATAAGTTACAATGCAAATCAGAAATTTAAAAAATAATTCCTTTACTGGTCATTTTGAAATGTCAAACTTTGTCTGCATTGTTAACCACCTCAGTCTGTATTATATTTTAGGGTTTTGAAAAAATTCCCTCATGTCCAAATTCAACATGAAGGGGGTGGTCCGCAGCAGAAAGAGGCTTTTGAAAAGAGTGCACTGTTCTCGGTCATTAGAGGTATGTGTATAAAACACACAACATTTACCAGAGAGCTTCTCTCTTTTTTAATACACTGAATGGTGATAAACATATATATATCGTTTTTAGTAGGCATCCAAGCAAAAGAGAATGACTCCCTGTCACAATTAGTGTAATTAAAGTAAAAAAAAAAATAATGTCAAGCTTTTCTTGTGCTTTTTTATTTTTTTCTTATTTGGCAGATGCTGTGATGACCAACTTCCTGGCAGCAACAGAGTTGGACTTGAGGAATGCAGTTGGGAAGAATTGTAAACAAAAATTAATAATTTCCTTAAAAAAATTAATAAGTTCACTGTTGGTTGTTTTATTTGTTAAAATAAGTAAACTGGAAAAATAAAAGGAAAAAAAAATTGAGAGACTGATAACGTCAGTCAGAAGAGAGAACGATGTAAAATTCACCGTCCTTCCCATAGACGCTGCATTAGAAACACCCTTGCATTAGCGTTAACTGTTTTTTTGTAAGTTGATGCAAAGGTGATATAATACAAAGAATACTGTTATAAATGTACATACATTTAAAAAAAAAAATACAAATATGAACAACTTTCAAGGATTTACGATGCTGATGACTGTTAAACATGTCATCATAGTCTTGTGAAAAGGGTCCATGTTTTAATGTTAAATACAAATATGAAAAACTTTCAAGGATTTACGATGCTGATGACTGTTAAACGTGTCATCATAGTCTTGTGAAAAGGGTCCATGTTTTAATGTTAAGTGTGATAACATGCTCTTGATTTGTATTAGATTTCTATCTATTTTTATTTTTATATTCTTATATCTTATTATTTTAAGTTGTTAAAAATTCCATATTTTTTATCATAATATTTATATTTAAGTGTATTGTATTTTATATTTTTATTATCTTAAGTTGTTAAAAATTCCAGATTTTTTATCATAATATTTATATTTAAGTGTATTGTATTTTATATTTTTATTATCTTAAGTTGTTAAAAATTCCAGATTTTTTATCATAATATTTATATTTAAGTGTATTGCATTTATAAAATTTTATTTTGTCATTAATTCTTTTGCATTTTTTATGATTTTGTATTGTCAAGCTGTCTAAGTTGTTAAAAATTAAATTTTTCTTAATAAAAGCTGTATATTTCGCTTGTTTGGATGGATTGCCATTTTGTTGTCTATTAGATGAATATAGGCATTCATTAGCTGTCTATTTGATGACTAGTCTATTCTTGGGCCATGGTTAGACGTCTATTAAATTTTCACTGACAGCCTAAATTCAGCCTTGTTTTAGCTGTAAGGATCCACCCGCCAAACCCAAAAAGCGGAATCCAGCGGCCTGGTTTAAGGTTTAATGCGTATTCGGTCTTTTACTTGCACTTCTGAATTTATCAGAACTTAGTTTCAATTTTGTCTAGCTCCGTTTTCAATCTGACTCCAATTTCATGTGATCATCAAATTTAATCAATATTTCTAATCAAAAGCTGATCACAGATATCGATTGTTTATTAATTTAGATATTTGAGTATTCTGTAAATCCCATACTTTCAATTAATCGTTCATCAGGGACCCAATGCCGCTCAGAGATACGGTTTGCGGTAAACTCACGGACGCAAACTAGCCAGTCTGATCTTAGTCAGAGGGTGTAATAAGTTAACTAATACCTTTTTATCGGTTGCCTACTGCTCACTCGTACAAAAAGTGTACTTGATTTAGTCACTTCCATACATCTTGCTAAGTCAGTGATAGACCGAAATGAAAAGGTCTTCGGATGAAGTGCCTACTGCTCCTTTCATTCACGCGCCTCCAGTTTGTACTATCCTGGACACAGATTTACGGTAGGATTAGCATCCTATGATTTACTGGTTATAATTAATTCAGGAGAAGTTCAGAATAAATCAAATATAACAATTTATTATTAGTCAGGTAAAATTGTATCATGCCAATTACATAATGAAACAATTAGAAGCCAATTTAGAAAGGATAATGCAATTGTGAAACATATTGTATCCGCGTGGCAACATGGTTTACTGTAGCTATATGGAAAATAGCCAAGTGTTCCATGCAGGAGACATGTTTTACATAGTCACACATGTAACAGTTATCCTAATTTAACACAAGACACACTGTCTAATATGCATAGCATCAACTACCTTTTACCTAAGTATTTCAAAGAACACTTACAGCAAAGTAATCAAGTGTTTTTAAAGAATAATCTCAACTAGCCTATGTGCACATGTAGTAGCACAAACAACTATACAGTGTGCTCTATGGGCACAATGTGTTTAACACAATTACATTTTTGAATCATACCTGACAACAGAGAGACACACAGCAGTGAGAGTTCTGGTGCAGAGCTCCAGAGACTGCATGGGGGTTTTTCTGTCTACAGAATCCCAAAGACTGATTTGCAACATTCCCTTAAATACTACCAGAACAAAAACAAAGAAATATTTAAATCAGTTGTAAAAACATAAAATACATTTTGGTCTTTTAGGTTCCCATGCTCCAGGGTTGCACCTGGCTGGAGCTAGATAAACATTCCCACAGGCCTAAAGGGGGACACACCCCCTCCTCAGCAGAACATAATTCTACAAATGTTTTGAATCTTTCTCATAATATAAATGACTACTGTGAAATTGAAACCAATTTACCAATCGCACAAAGATCTTTAAAATGACACCAAACATGAAAAGTTTATGATCATGAATCCTGAAGATATAGTAAATGTTTTATGTGAGCATAGCAACTTGAGTTCTTGGCATTTCTCTGTCAAATTTTAGTGACCTGGACCATGTACCCAGGGGGGAAGGATGGGTGAAGGGACTGAAGAGCAGATGGTCTTTCTTCCAGATCTTCCTATCTTGATCAAAGCCCATTGTTTCTGAGTGTTTAGCTTTACGAGGAGATCAAAGCCCATTGTTTTGTGGCATGGCATTTGCATTGCGAGAGTGTTTGGCTTCACAAAGAATTTATTTTATAAGGAAATAATTTCACTCCTTTCAGTCCTTCCCTGGTCTCTTGGAGCAAACTCTGAGCGGTCTACAAGGGGCCATAATTAAATTATTTCCTTATGATGTTCATTACTGCCAAATTCTTTGCAGAGTGGGCAGCACTAGCTGATGCATGCAGGAGTAGAGTGGTCACCTGAAAGAACAACATTAAGACAGGTTGAGGAAAGCACTGCAGAATGCACATCAGTGACACGCCCAGTCCCTTTAAGCACAGGCACCCTGTGTCGTTGCAGTCTTTTTGGTCAGGTGTGTTTCCACCTCTCCTGTATGTCCTTGTGGAATTTGTCCCTCAAAGAGGGTAGCCGTCAGTCTGGAAAGGGAAGCAAACAGAGAGACAACAGCTTACTCTAGAGCCTTTTCACAAATTGCTCGAAGACTGGTGGATATTAATTTTCCTGTAATGTCTACAGCCAAACAGTTGTTGGATGTTCACATACTGTTTCAAGATGGCGCCAGGATGTTTGCCGGCGTGCCGTCACAGTCTGTTTTTACCTGTTTTAGTATTTTGTTTCCTTGTTTGTTTTATAATGCGCTCCGTTTGCTCCCCTCTGGTGTATGATCGCTTAACTTTTCTGAATATTCGGTCGGCGGTGTCTGATTGTCTATTTCGCGATACCAAAGAAGACTGCCTTCCGTATGCACGGTATGCGTCTGTGCCAGTTGCGCTGAGGAAGGTGTGTTACCTGCCTGGATGCTTGTGCCTGTGTAGGAAACGCCGAAGGAAGCGTGGGAAGCGCGCTGGAGGCCTCGTGAGATCAAAGAAGACCAGGAAGTTTTAACAGTTATCCTAATTTAACACAAGACACACTGTCTAATATGCATAGCATCAACTACCTTTTACCTAAGTATTTCAAAGAACACTTACAGCAAAGTAATCAAGTGTTTTTAAAGAATAATCTCAACTAGCCTATGTGCACATGTAGTAGCACAAACAACTATACAGTGTGCTCTATGGGCACAATGTGTTTAACACAATTACATTTTTGAATCATACCTGACAACAGAGAGACACACAGCAGTGAGAGTTCTGGTGCAGAGCTCCAGAGACTGCATGGGGGTTTTTCTGTCTACAGAATCCCAAAGACTGATTTGCAACATTCCCTTAAATACTACCAGAACAAAAACAAAGAAATATTTAAATCAGTTGTAAAAACATAAAATACATTTTGGTCTTTTAGGTTCCCATGCTCCAGGGTTGCACCTGGCTGGAGCTAGATAAACATTCCCACAGGCCTAAAGGGGGACACACCCCCTCCTCAGCAGAACATAATTCTACAAATGTTTTGAATCTTTCTCATAATATAAATGACTACTGTGAAATTGAAACCAATTTACCAATCGCACAAAGATCTTTAAAATGACACCAAACATGAAAAGTTTATGATCATGAATCCTGAAGATATAGTAAATGTTTTATGTGAGCATAGCAACTTGAGTTCTTGGCATTTCTCTGTCAAATTTTAGTGACCTGGACCATGTACCCAGGGGGGAAGGATGGGTGAAGGGACTGAAGAGCAGATGGTCTTTCTTCCAGATCTTCCTATCTTGATCAAAGCCCATTGTTTCTGAGTGTTTAGCTTTACGAGGAGATCAAAGCCCATTGTTTTGTGGCATGGCATTTGCATTGCGAGAGTGTTTGGCTTCACAAAGAATTTATTTTATAAGGAAATTCCTTTCAGCCTTTCAGTCCTTCCCTGGTCTCTTGGAGCAAACTCTGAGCGGTCTACAAGGGGCCATAATTAAATTATTATGTTCATTATCTGGTCCACAATTGGTTCCATGAGCACCCTGAATTTGAAGTCTTATACCTTCCCCCTTCCTGAATCCAATAGAATAGTTTTTTTTCAGCATGGCGGTGGAAGGTATACGACCTGCGGCCCTATGACCGTTTGCCCCTCATTCAGGCCATGGAGCAGGCCTGTGATCATATCGAAGCAGCTTCTGTGCAGGGGTGGGTTTGTCACACGAGGAGATTCTTCCAACGGTGCCTTGCCAATGAAGACATAGCCTGTGATGTGGATGAAATCTTATGGCCTGATCCAGCCAGATGGAGAGATGATGAATAGTTACAGTATTCTTGCTTTTACAGTAGTTTTTCTTCAGAGTCATTGAAGACAATTTGTTCATCCCCTGAACAAGATGGCGCCAGGATGTTTGCCGGCGTGCTGTCACAGTCTGTTTTTACCTGTTTTAGTATTTTGTTTCCTTGTTTGTTTTATAATGCGCTCCGTTTGCTCCCCTCTGGTGTATGATCGCTTAACTTTTCTGAATATTCGGTCGGCGGTGTCTGATTGTCTATTTCGCGATACCAAAGAAGACTGCCTTCCGTATGCACGGTATGCGTCTGTGCCAGTTGCGCTGAGGAAGGTGTGTTACCTGCCTGGATGCTTGTGCCTGTGTAGGAAACGCCGAAGGAAGCGTGGGAAGCGCGCTGGAGGCCTCGTGAGATCAAAGAAGACCAGGAAGTTTCCATTTATCGGACCACCGTCCTCCGTGGCAGAGGTCGAGGAGGTGAACCTGAGATGTTCATATCTTGTTCCTGTCTTCCCGCCCCCGGTGTCGATGTACCGGTCCTCGCGGATGGTTCGCGCCAGGCGGCGGTCGGCCGTTCGTGGAGTTAACCACTTAAACCTTCGCTCCTTACGTGACGGGAATCCGGTAAACGTTTTCGTTCAATCTTCCCTATCTTCTTCTGACACCACTCCAGTGACAATGGCGTTGATAAACGCGAGATCTCTGGCAAATAAAACTTTTATTCTGAACAATCTCTTTGCCTCTCACAAACTTGATTTTTTTATTTGTTACTGAGACTTGGCTTAACGCTGGCGACACGTCTTCACTCTCTGAACTCTCTTCTGCTGGTTGCAGTTTTTTCAGTACCCCTAGGTCTGTTGGCCGGGGTGGGGGTCTTGCAGTTGTTTTTAAAGAAAAGTTTAAATGTAGACTCTTACCCTCTGACTCTTTTTGTTCGTTTGAATCTCAGCTAATTACATTGAATTCTTTTACGTCTGTGCTATGTGTTTTAATTTATAGACCCCCAAACTCTCATGGGAATTTTATACAAGAATTCTCTGAACTGTTATCTGCAATTGTCCCCTCTTTTGACAAAATTTTAATTTTAGGGGATTTCAATATGCATGTGTGTTGCCCGTCAAAGCCCTTGGTCAGAGATTTTTTTAATTTATTAGTCATTTGATCTTTTACAGTGTGTTTTTGGTCCAACTCATGAGCATGGTCATACTCTTGATCTTGTTTTATCTTTGGGGTTTTCTGTTGGTAATCTGAAGATTGTTGATACCGTTTTTTCTGATCATAAGACTTGTTTTTTTAGCTCTAATTTTCCATGTGACGTCTTAAGTAATGTTTCTGTTCCTGTCGCATCTCGTGTTCTCACTCCTTACACAGCTAGTAGTTTTTCAGCAGCTTTTGAGCTTTCCCCTTTACTTACTTTGTTTGAATCTCCCTGTCATAGTATGGATTTATAAGAGTTGGTTAATCAATTCAACGCTTCTTGTTCTGCTATTTTAGATGTTGTCAAGGCTAAGAAAAACAAAGTTAAATTACAGCCCTGGTTAAATAGTACTACCCGTGCTCTCAGGCAGGAGTGCAGGAGGGCTGAACGTAAATGGCTTAAAGATAAATTACAGGTCTCTTATGAGATTTTGAAGAACTGTCTGAATGAATATCAAAGGGCTGTCAAATTAGCTAGAGCTAATTATTTTTGTGCTATTATTTCCAGAAATTGTCATAATTCTAGAGTACTTTTTTCTACTGTAAACACTGTGCTCAATCCCGTTGCCACCCCATCACTCATTCCTTCTGCTGATATATGTGAAGCATTCTTAAACATTTTTATTGGTAAGGTCGCTGGAATTAGAACTCAAACTTCATCTGCTAGCAATGACCTGATCACTCTTGCCGATCCTAGTAATCAGTTGACAAGTTTTTTGCCTACTTCTCTACAGCAGCTTAAAGATATAATTGCGCATATGAAGCCTACTAGGTCTCCAGGTGATGTCATTCCTTCTTCTTTGTTTAAGAAGGTTTTTGACACTATTGGTCCAAGTATTCTGACTATTTTGAATAGTAGTCTGTCATCTGGTGTTGTTCCCGCTAGTTTTAAGAATGCTGTTATTCAGCCCCTCCTTAAAAAATGGTTTAGATCCCATTTCGAAGCTGCCTTTTATATCTAAGATATTGGAAAAAATTGTGGTGTTGCTGTATGTTTATAAGGCTGTGCATGGTCTATCACCTGACTATGTTACGGATTTTATTAGTGTCTGTCAATCCAGCAGATCTCTGCGTTCAAATGAACAACTACTCCTAATGGTTCCGCGATCTCATCTAAAATGTAGAGGGGATCGTGCTTTCTCTGTGGCAGCTCCTTGGCTCTGGAATGCCCTTCCTCTGTCTATTAGAACTTCTCCAACTTTGGGTGTTTTTCAGAGTTCGCTTAAAACTCATTTGTTTTCTCTAGCTTTTGACAATGTTTTTTAGCTGTGTATGATATTTGTTGTTACTATTATTATTTATGTATTTTTATTTTGTATTTTATTTTACTATTATTATTTTTCATTTGTTTTTATATTATTCTTATTTTTTTTCCCCCTTATCTTTTTCTGTACAGCACTTTGGTTCCAGTCGTGGTGTTGAAAGTGCTTTATA